CCATCTATTATTCCAGTTATTCCTCCAACTCTATCAAGAAGGCATGATTATTTTCTCCATTTTTGCAGATGAGGAAACTAAAGCATAGAGAACCTAAGCAACATGATGAAATGGTTAGAAAGCATCCAAACCTGGAGCTCAAATCCTTAGCCAGTTCATTATCCGGCATGAACTACAGTGGGCTAAATCTACATAAATGGAAATGCGGACCTTTCTTGTTTTCTCTGCCAGGTCTAGATTTGATTGTTCCAACTGTATCATTTATATATGTTCAAAGTATGTTCTGCAGTCGCTTCTGAAACAGTTCTGTGACTAATATTTTACATAATGCTTTGTAAACTTGGGATGAGGTGTTTACTGTAAAAGAGAACTATAACACAGGAAAATAGGAAGTGACAATGAGACCTATCGTGCTCTCAAATTGAGAATATCATTTAAGCTGACAAAGAAGTAAATTCAAAATTTATAACTGTCACTGAAGATATGACTCATGCAGGGATTTTAAAGATCTGAACATAGCCCATAACTATAAGCATCATATTATTTGTGTTATTGCCACTTAGCCAAATTAGAGTTTATTCCATGAAAATGAGTAAGATTCATTTTATTCTCTTCCTAAACAGAAAGGATTATTTCCACAGAACTTCAAAAAATTATGTTTCCACTTTTGATGCATATAAACATGACTCAAAACAAGATACACTTAATTGATATTTTTTGGGAAAATGTGTCTTGAACCACTAGATTTTTTTCTGTGATTGACAAAGAATTTAATAATGTACTGTAGTTTTGTATGCTCACAATGAACATAGATTATTATAGTCCAACTAGCAATGAATATTCAGCTCATTTACACCTACCTTTCAGATAGCTGAAAATTAAGATTCAATTTAGAAGTGTTTTGGTATTCTTAGCTTCCTTTCTCCCATTCATCTTTTTCTTGATACACTTTAATTCATCAGGGTCTTCATTTTTGCATAGGCTTTTAGTATGTGGCTTAGTTCATAAGAAATGACTTGTGGCTGTAAGCAAAGCTTGGAATTGCTACATAAGGGAATAGTAGTTTTGAATATTGATTATTTTGAGGATTTTCATACTTGGGATCCTGAAATATTAGTGAATAATATTTATTCACTCACGTTAGACTCCACATGACTTTGAATATTTTATTCATGATAACTATGAAAAGTCAGCAAATGCAAAATTGCCCATCTTCAGGTTCCTCATAATTGTGCTAGTATCTCAGAGAGCTTTAATAGAATGATTAAGAAATGATTCATGACCAGCAATTTCACTCCTAAGCATATGTCCAAGAGATATGAGTATATTTATCAACAAAAAGAATTATTCAAGAATTTCCATAGCTGCTTTATTTGTAAGAGTCCCAAACTGCAAACAACCCAAATGTCTATCAATTGGAGAATGAATAAACACATTGTGGTATATTTATATGATTGACTATCAAATAGAACTTTTAATCCACACACTAATGTGGATTTATCTCAAAAACATTATACTGAGTAAAAAAAAAAGAAAAGATAGAAGAGAGAATAAGAAGAATCATGTGATTCTATGAAGTCCAAGAAATGGTGAAGCTAATACATTTTAACACCTACCTTTCAGATAGCTGAAAATTAAGATTCAATTTAGAAGTGTTTTGGTATTCTTAGCTTCCTTTCTCCCATTCATCTTTTTCTTGATACACTTTAATTCATCAGGGTCTTCATTTTTGCATAGGCTTTTAGTATGTGGCTTAGTTCATAAGAAATGATTTGTGGCTGTAAGCAAAGCTTGGAATTGCTACATAAGGGAATAGTAGTTTTGAATATTGATTATTTTGAGGATTTTCATACTTGGGATCCTGAAATATTAGTGAATAATATTTATTCACTCACGTTAGACTCCACATGACTTTGAATATTTTATTCATGATAACTATGAAAAGTCAGCAAATGCAAAATTGCCCATCTTCAGGTTCCTCATAATTGTGCTAGTATCTCAGATAGCTTTAATAGAATGATTAAGAAATGATTCATGACCAGCAATTTCACTCCTAAGCATATGTCCAAGAGATATGAGTATATTTATCAACAAAAAGAATTATTCAAGAATTTCCATAGCTGCTTTATTTGTAAGAGTCCCAAACTGCAAACAACCCAAATGTCTATCAATTGGAGAATGAATAAACACATTGTGGTATATTTATATGATTGACTATCAAATAGAACTTTTAATCCACACACTAATGTGGATTTATCTCAAAAACATTATACTGAGTAAAAAAAAAGAAAAGATAGAAGAGAGAATAAGAAGAATCATGTGATTCTATGAAGTCCAAGAAATGGTGAAGCTAATACATTTTATGTGAAGTTCAAGAACTGGCAAAGGTAATGATCACAGAAGTCAAAATAGTGTTTACCTGTAGAAGGAGAGTGGTTATAAACAGAGAAAAGGTACAAAGAGACTTTCTGGGTTGCTGGAAATATTGCCTGGGTGGTAATTACACATGGGTATAAAAATATAAATATTCTTCATATTGAACACATGGAGTTTGTCTATTTTACTGTACATAAATTACACTTCAATTAAAAAATTATCACTCTGAAGTTTTTTTTAACACAACATTTTGTTTTGGATCTATATCCGTATTGATGTACCTAGGCCAATTTCATTATTTTAACTGTATTTAAATAAAAGATAGTTTATGCCCTGGTGGAGTTTGGCTTGGTCTATAGGTATGTTGGGATAACACTAACTATTGCAACAAATAAACTTTCACATTTCAGTGGCTTAACACAATAGAAGCCTATTATCAATCACTGTGACTGTTCAGTGGGAGTGTTCTCATTCTCCTCCATATGGAGATTAAGGGTCCCAAGGCACCTTCCAGCTTGTGGCTTACTAGTTCCTGCTCAAGAATCTGAATCTCCAGGGCTGGATCGTTTACACAGCTAAGCGCAAGAGATGTTGAATGAATGAAAGATACTATGATTCCAGTCCCTGGAATGGCACTTTCTGTGGTTCCAACACTCCGTGGTAAAATCTGGTCCATTTTTGATGGAATGGTTCAAGTGCCACCTGATTCAGCACAATCTCCCTGACTTGTTCCCTTTTTTCACACCCACATCTTTAACTCCCAGACCTCATATTAATTATCTCTGACACTGAGCAAATTCAAGTTGAATTTTACTTTTCTAATTAAACTCTGGTAATGTTGAGGACCTAGCAAAGTGAGGATGAGGGCAAGGCAAATGAGGAACTTGCCTTGGGTGTACTATTTAAGGGAACATCAAAAATATCAGTAATCAAGAGAAATTACATTTTAATGCAATATTTTAAAAATCGAAATTAATGCAACCAACATCCATGATGAACAATGCATCAAAATTTTTAATGAAGACTGGCTCAGATCCTACACTTGTACCACTGGCCTTGTAGGGTTTTGTATAGTTGCAGTCCTGTTGGATCCTATGTTTAATCATCTTTTTACCCCAGCAGTTTATGAGCTAATGAATATATGGATAAATTTCTTCCTTGAAACAAGTCATCAGCTTGAAATTTACAGACCCTGGCAATGACAATGACTGTGATGGAATGTGGGCATGAGTCATGAATCAGCTATGATGTGCCTTCTCAAATCAGCTACATTGGAACACAAGACCATATGCTCTAAGGTTGGAAGATTATTTTCTGCCTTCAATTAAGTCCCTGTAAAATTCTCTTCTGTCATACCCCCTTGTTTAAAACCAGATACATAAATGTCTTGTTCTGTTGGTAACCCTTTTTTACCATCATGCAGCCTGTAACACTGCCCACAGAAGACCAATTCCAAAGGAATCTGAGTTCATGTTATTTCAATAACATTGCATCAATGCTGTTTCAATAACATTGCATTAAACGTGTGCTCCCCCATTATTACATAACATTGTTACAATCATAGTCTTGTGAACTTGTTTGAATACTGACATTTATTTGTTTTAATCTACTTTTTATTTCAGAAGCTTCTAGGCAAAATAAGATCAGAAAAACACAGCCATTTGAACAAAGACAACCAATAGTTTTTGTTAAGACTTCATTCTCTGTATGATGCTTCCTTCTTAAGAAGAAATTTGCTCCAAGTTATACTCAGGAAGAGAAAAAAAAAGTTTCAGCAGGCATTAGGGCCTATTATTCATGTTGGCAAAGAAAGGCTGGCTTACCCCCCCGCACCCCCCCCGCCCCCCATCATCTCTGGTTCCAGAGTTGCTCCTGTCTGAGACTGATGAGCTAATGAATATATGGATAAATTTCTTCCTTGAAACAAGTCATCAGCTTGAAATTTACAGACCCTGGCAATGACAATGACTGTGATGGAATGTGGGCATGAGTCATGAATCAGCTATGATGTGCCTTCTCAAATCAGCTACATTGGAACACAAGACCATATGCTCTAAGGTTGGAAGATTATTTTCTGCCTTCAATTAAGTCCCTGTAAAATTCTCTTCTGTCATACCCCCTTGTTTAAAACCAGATACATAAATGTCTTGTTCTGTTGGTAACCCTTTTTTACCATCATGCAGCCTGTAACACTGCCCACAGAAGACCAATTCCAAAGGAATCTGAGTTCATGTTATTTCAATAACATTGCATCAATGCTGTTTCAATAACATTGCATTAAACGTGTGCTCCCCCATTATTACATAACATTGTTACAATCATAGTCTTGTGAACTTGTTTGAATACTGACATTTATTTGTTTTAATCTACTTTTTATTTCAGAAGCTTCTAGGCAAAATAAGATCAGAAAAACACAGCCATTTGAACAAAGACAACCAATAGTTTTTGTTAAGACTTCATTCTCTGTATGATGCTTCCTTCTTAAGAAGAAATTTGCTCCAAGTTATACTCAGGAAGAGAAAAAAAAAGTTTCAGCAGGCATTAGGGCCTATTATTCATGTTGGCAAAGAAAGGCTGGCTTACCCCCCCGCACCCCCCCCGCCCCCCATCATCTCTGGTTCCAGAGTTGCTCCTGTCTGAGACTGAGGCGCTGGGGCCCTGAGAAGCCCCGGCTTTAACTGCTGTGGCCTTCAGAGCCAGGCTTTTTCCGCAGTGACCAGTTTTTTCACCCACAGTTAGCCACCAGGGGGCTGCCTGTTTGGAACAAATGGTGCAGACTCCACAGCTTTCCTCCAAACCAACCAAAACATCCCAGGGCAGCACTGGAGCAAAGCCCAGGAACTTCCCCGCAAAGGACAACTTTTCTCCAGTTACAAAACTGTGGTGGAGCCTTATTACCAGTGAAGAATAAAGCATGGATTTATCGCCAAGGACCAACGGGAAGCTGGGTCCGCGGAGTCTGACTTGAGAGGCCCCTCCCTCTCTCCAGGGAGCCCTGGGGTCTGCGGCTCTCTCTCGCGCGCGCGTGCAGTGCCCTGAAACACTGTGTATCCACGCACAGGGGCAGTTTCCCAATTTTTGATAGTTGCGGTTGTTAATGCCGTCGGCAAGTGGGGTGGCTTCTCACTCCTTGGGATGCTCACCAGCAGCTGGAATAAAACGTACGTCACAGGCTGGAAATCTAGAAAACTCCCCAATAAACTACCTATACATTGTTCGGGCAGTTGAGGACACTAATCGTCTTAGTTCTATACGGATAAATGTGTATATTGGATAATGAAGTCACAATTATTTTAATAATTTTAAGAATAATTGTACCCTGTCGTCAAAATAATTTTGCCGCAACTATAGCTTCGTACCGACTACGTTTTAGTTTTTTGGGTACCCAGTATTTTTACAAGCATTATTTCAGCCCAGAACTCAGCTTCCTTTTCTCTCAACCTTAAACTTTGACCTTCAGGACTTGGCAGAGGGGTGGAGGGAGGGTATTTTGGAAATTAATATTTGCCTGGGGCACAACTCCAAAAGCGTATAAATTATTTTTGTCTTCCGGGTTTTATCTGTACACTTGCGGGATGAGGACAAATTAATAGGGCGGCCCTTCTGGAGCCTGTGGGGTGTCTCAACGCTGCAAACGTTTCCCAGGACATGCATAATGGTGTGGAGAGGTGTCTCCCTCAAAGGCAAGCGAGGTATTTCCAAAACTTCCATTCCCGGGTGGTGATGGTAAGAAAACAGCCAGACCGCCCGGCCGGCGGAGGCCCCACGAGCAGCCGGAGCGTTGCGTCGGCCCGACACGCGCCACAAGTGGTTTGGAGAAAGAGGCCGCCGCGCTCGTCCTGCCCGGCAAAGAAAAGCCCGTGCTTCTGGAAGCCCCCCTCCCCCTCTCTCCGCCACTCGTCCCCCTTTCCTTCCTCTTTGCCTACCAGAGGAATGACGCCCCAGCCTGAACCTCCGCGCGCACGCAGCCGGGAGGGTGGACACGAGGCCACCAAAGTCACCCAACGTTGACGCCCGGGGAGGGCACCTGGGTGGCGGGCCCGTCCGGCACTGGGGGGAGGCGGCGGGGGGCGCCCGAACCTGCGAGGCAGGTGCGGAGGCGGCCAGCCGGGTGGCGTGTGCGTGCGGCGCGGAGTAGGGGCAGCGAACGGGCAGTGGCGGACGCGGCAGGGCGCCGGCCGGGGCGGGGGCGCAGGGGGCCAGCCCGGCTCCCCGGGGCGGCGGCGGCGGCGGCGGGACGCGCGGCCCAGAGGCCATTTCCTCTCTGCGCCCCTGGCGGAGCCGGGTTTGCCTGCGCTGGGCCGCCGCTGCCGCTGCCGCTGCCGCGCGGTCCGGACCGCCGGGAGGGCTGGAGGGGAAACCAGGTCACCGGTGGGCAGACGCGGCACGGGCGCCTCGGGTCCGGAGTAAGGCAGCGCCCGGGGAGCGGGCCAGGGCGGGCCGGCGCGCGGGGGGCCGGAGAGGCGGGGACTCCGCGCCCCGACCGCACTCGCTTGTTACGCCTATAAAAGTGGAGTGGCCGGGGAGGGCCGGCGTTTCCCTGGCTGTGGCCGCTTCTCTTCGCCGAAGGAGTTGACATTTTGCAGGACTCGCGCGACGTCCCGTCGCCTGCGCTCCCCGGGACCCCGCCGCCGGGAGGAGGGGGCGGAGGAGGGTGGAGACTGCGGGGCTTGGCCAAGGAAGGCGCACAGCCTCGGGCGGGCGGCCGTGACGCGGCGGGGATTAACTTTGCATGAATAATGTGAGTGCGCTTGGAAAGGAGACCTTCTGCTGCCCGGGCTCGGGGCAAGCGCCCGCCGGCCGCGTTCCCCGGGCAGGGCGCTCCACCCAGCCGGCTCGAGGGCACCGGTAATTTGGCGACAGGACCGCGCGGAGGCGGGGGTTGGGAGGGTGGCGGAGGAGGGGGCGACGGTTCCAACTGCCCCGAGGGTGGACGGCATGGTAACAGGGGTGTCGCGGGAGCCTGAAGGGGTGCGGGTGAAGCAGCCCAGCGCGCGCGGGCGTGGGTGGCTGGGGGTGTCATCCGCCTCCGTCCTGCCTCCGCGGGGTCTCTGCGCCGGCCCGGGAGGAGGTGGCCTCGGGTGCTGGGGTCCCGCTCGGCGGCAGCTGGGGAGTCACCGCGGGGCCAGCGAGGCGAGGGCCCCCCCTCCCACCGCGGCGGTCTGTTCCTCAAGCCCCAAGCCCAGCTGTTGACAGGCTCCTTGTGAAATGGAGTTTTGGCATCCTCGGCGCCGAACCGAGTGGAAGTTTCCATGATGAGGAAGTTCTGTGACACGGGGGTTCGGAGGAGGTTGGCAGACAGCGGGGGGAAGGAGGTTTAAAAGGACTGGGGGTCCCCCACCCCTCGTTTTTCTCCTGCCCCGGAACTCCAGGGTTTGGCAAGGAGAATAATCCTGAATGTTGGCGTGCGCGGTCGCGGGTGCCTGGCGACTTGGCTTCTCTCCGCCTCCTCAGGGAATCAGAGGCGATTTCGCTCGCCTCCCTGGGCGCGCTTCTTCGCTTTGCTCCTCTCTTGACGCAGCATCTTCCTCTGGGTCCCCTCAAGTTGGTTCTGACACCATGAGCTGTGCCAGCTGTGCGCTCGCCCCGCACCCCGTTGCCACCACCGCTAAGGACTCAGATGGGGGAGTTTTTACTCCCAGTGGATTTCGTCCCTCTTAGCAGCAGTTGTCATTTTGGGAGGACGATTTCCCAATGACCATTGTAGGATTATTATTAGTGTTAATTCTTCAGCCTTCTGATTTGTTTTAAGGGGAGGGTGGGGTGCGGTGACTTTATTTATTAAAGGTTAAGTGTGTAATTTTCCCCCAGTGGGAAATTTTAAAGGAAGGGGTTGGACATGTAGCAATTCCTAGAGTGAAAGAAAAGGAGTTTACCTGAACAGACAAGTTTACTCTGCATCCTCCCCTCTCCACCTACATTTAGAATTTGTGAAGATTCAAACACTGCGCCTAGTCAGTAAATACATCTGAAACAAAGTCTTCCTCTTGGCATATTGCTCTTAGAGGCTAGTGCGATTCGGTTCTAAAAATCTGTTTTGAAGTTCGAAAAAATAAGCATTGCTTGGACAGTATTAATAGCAGAGAACAGCAATTTTTATAATGTTAAATGTGATGTAGACCTATTGGGCTGTATCTTTACATTGTTTGGCCTTACTTGAGTTCACTATGCTTGTTTATGTTGCAATAACAGCATGCACTGGATTGCAAAGTAATACAAGTTGCATTTTAGTAAAAATATCCATGATTCATTCTGCATATTTAGGGTGACTGATCTGCTTCCTAATTCACTTCTGCTTATCTCTCCTACTCTGAAACTAGTCAGGGACTAAGAAACATTAAAGAAAAAGTATTTTGGTGAAAAGTATTTTGAGCAGCGGCTGTTTTTAGGAGTTTTCATGCCAGTTGCCCATGTTAATTGACTCTAACAGAAATTCAGTTGTAAGGAATTTGGGGGGTACTATATGGAAAGGCATTGACGGACAACCATTTATTATATGTGCATGTTGTGTAGATACTATCAGAATCGTATTTTTAATGAATTTCAAAGTTCTAGAATATGTTGGAAGTAGGACCATCTGTTAGTATGATTTGCTTTTTCGAGCAAGTGAAAGTAAATGATACTGAATATAACCAGAGTTATTTTTTTAAGGAAGCAATTCCTGTTAGCATTATAATGCAAAGACATAATTTTATTAACAGTAGAATATTGTTTTATAAAGTACCTGACTTTATAAGAGAAATAAACATTCAATTTCTCCTCTTTTGGATTCTTTGTGGCAAATTCTGCTGCACAGATGAATTAAGACAACTTCCTTATAATGCAGCATCTTGGTGAAAAGGTGATGTCTTCAAATTTCCTTAAGAGAAGGGAAATTTGTGGATTCTTTTCGTTTCCTGGGATTTTTGTAGTCTGAAGCAGGAGTGTGTGGAGGCACAAATGGGATTGCACATTTCTTTTTTTAATAAGCTCATCGTTTTGATGGAAATCAGAGTAAAGGTGGTTGGTTTCTTTAGCTCTCTTTTGTCATTCTAGTGTATTATGTGTCACCTTCTTAAAAAGCCCTTTCCTGACCACTTGAGCAAAGGCAGGACGCCATTTCTTCTCCAGACCATCACAGTGCTGTTTCTTTTCTTTTTCCTTCTTTATTTGCAGCCTGAACTGTTCATTTTAATTGGAACTTGTTGAGCACCTGTCTCTCCTGCCTAGAGTGTAGAGCTCATGAGAAAAACTGTCTCAACTGCCTCATTTACCCTAGATTCTCCAGCATCTTGAACAGTGCTTGCTTGGCACACAGTGCTGGATAAATCTTTGTTGAATAAATGAATGGGCGTGTCAAAATAATTGTGTTTCTGAAAATACCTGATAAGCATCCTAAGTGGGTACCAATTGGACATGCCAAGATCTGTGCCTGTGTATGGTATGTTTGTGGGCCATGTGTATATGGTTCAATTTTTATCTCTTTCTTTTTTTTGAAATAGCATCTAGCTACATTCTATTTAGTGACAATGCAGAGAGTGATTTCTGCAAGTTCTTGCTGGGGGCATTTGCCTGTATACAGAGAAATCCTCAGCAGCAGTTTGTCTTGCAGGTTATGTTGATTCCCTGAAGACGACCTTCAACTCCATGGGTATCAGCAGAATCTTTATGAGTTCCAGAGACATTGTCAGTGCTGAGAGTGAAATTCCAGGGAACAGACATCACTGGGTGCTAGCAATGCCTTCTCACTCAGCAGGTTCTGGCAGTGCCTCTGGCCTTGGCAGCCCCTAAGGGACCTAGGGGGTGTGGTGGTATAGCTGGTCTATGAAGTGGCAGTTGGGGAAGGGACAAAATGGGACCATCAGGATTCAGTACAAAATAGAACTAGCTCTTGGAGGTAGATTTGAAATAACCTGGTAGCCAACCTGTGCTGTAAGCTAATCAGTCAACCTTTCCCCATTTGCCCCTTTTCACACATTCCTAAACATACTCTGAACCATCTGGGAAACATATTGCGGGAAATACTGCACTCTGAGTTTTCAAGTGACCGAAGTGTGATACTCAAAGGGTCATCTTCCAATTAGCTATTCATGGAAACTCTTGACAAATGAGGCTAAAAAGAAACTTGTAAGTGATGTTTGTGGTAATTTGTTTTTGTTTATAGAGTTTGAACTTTCAGAAATGTATCTGAGTAAAGGCATAATAAAAATCCCACAACATGATGAGACTGGTAAAAATGGAGGAGGAAGAAAGATCAAAGTCTTGCAGAGAAGTAAAGATAATTAAATGAAATCCTAAGTGCTTATTGATTTTGAGTATTTTGATTTAGCTCTGAACTTCTCAGCCCAGGTACCAGAAAAAAAGGGGAGCTGCCGGGATGCATGAGAATTGTAAGGATAGACTAGATAACAGTGGCAGAGTGCTCAGCACAGTGACTGGCAGCTGGTCTGTACTTCTACAAAATATCAAATCCCATAATGGCCAATTCAGTTTGAAAGACAATAAAGTCTAAATGGCCCTGCCTCTCACCAACCCTTGAGCGAATAAAAAGTACAGAAGCCATAATGCTGTATAATGAAGTATAATAAAGCAACCCAATGGGAGGTGCTCTTTGGGAGCCTGAGCTACCATGGCCTGTCCAGCAGAAGAGATTCTGGCCATCTTCCCGGTGCAGAAATAGAGCTCAGAAAACCTAGAGGAATGAATGGTTAACATGTTCTTTAGACCGACTTTCTCAAATATCCAGTGTCTCAGCCAGGCTTTTGACTAGAGCAATCTGAGAGGACAGGACAGCCAGGTACTTGAAAATGACTCTATGGCCACAAGCCTCCCTGAACAGGTGGCCTCAGTGCTTCGTGCTTTAGTCGATGCAGCTCTTATCAGCCTGCAGAGCAGTTTTGTTTCCATTTCTGTTTGTCCCTCTAAATTGTGATCAGGGGCTATGGGTTTACTCATCCTCAGCTCCCCATCCAGCACCTAGCAAAGACTTTGACACATGGGCATGGGGAAAGACTTGTTGCAAGAATGAATGGGAGGGAAAGATGGGGGGTGCTTCGCTGTCTTTCTTGATATTGGTATTATCTTCTGACTTAGTTTTGCCTGATGTGAATGTTTGCTGCCTGGATTGCATTATATACCACAGCTGAGGATTTGGTTTGAAGGGCTTGTTGTGGTTTCTGAGCTGGTTGAGCAATGAATGGCAAGTTAACTCCTTGCTTTATTTAAAGTCATTTTGATTACTTGCTTTGATTCCTCATTCAGTCTACAAAAATTTCTGTACCTACTACGTGCCAGACCCTGCTAGACATTTTGCAGCACGTTGTTCAGCCTAGTGACCTATGAGAGACAATATGTGTACATCAATACAAAGGGATTCTGAAATGGTCTCCACTGTGAGACTTCATGTACTGGCAGCTCTTCTTGTCCAGTACTATTTTTATTGAGTGAGAAACTGAGCTCTGCTGTAGACTTAGGTGTCTTTTTCATACGGCAGGTCAGGAGAGCCTGGAATTAGGATCCAGGAATCTTGACTGTGTCTCAGGAAGCATATAGTAGCCTTTCCATCATGATCCTTGGACAGTCTAACACATGCATGTGCATGTATGTAACACATATAACAATATGTATATTATAATATGTAATATGCATGTAATAATATGTATAATAGTGTGTATGTGTATGTGATGATCAAGAATGTAGGGGTTTATGCAGAAAGTCATGAGTGATAAGCTGATTAAAGCAAAAGCTTGGACAAAGGAATGCAAATTGACAACAGGTATGTCTTTTTAATTTGAGAAATACACTTGTGTTACTCCTCTGGAGGTTCAGGAATGTTTGCGATGAGGAGAGTGGTGAAGATAGTCATGGTTTTAGGGGCATAATGTATGGTCACGACGTTCAGGAACCCAGTGAGCATTCTGACTCTTATGACATGTTCATTGGTTCTCAAGATGGTTCAGATATGCTTTCACCCGCTTTTTGTCTCTCTTAAGACTGTTTTCCCAAATTTCAGCAATGCTTGTACAAATAGATGCTTGAAAATGATGATTGATCATAACGATATGATCTTCCTGGGTTTGGGTCAGTTTTTTCATATTTCTCTCCCATATGCGCAAATGTCTCTCCAACTTGCGCGTCCATACATGTGGAGTCTTTCTTGTGACAGGCGTGTCATGTTCTTACATACAGTGAAAAGGAACTGCTTGTCTCTAGCTTCCGCTGTGCTTCCCATGCCCAGTTTCCAAATCAGGGTGAGAAATACCACAGTCAAGCTGA